TCATTCACGCAGCTACAGTGTCACAAATCTAAGATTTCGGAATGATCAACTGCCAGACCGCTAGCCTGCAAAGCAAAGTCAAACTCCTCATCCGAGCCATCACAAATCTAAGATTTCGGAATGATCAACTGCCAGACCGCTAGCCTGCAAAGCAAAGTCAAACTCCTCATCCGAGCCATCTCCGGCCAAATCCTCCCACGCTCAAGTTTTCCATCTCAGCTAGACTGAAACTTATTCCAAGCTTGCCCAATAATTATGCCCAAAGCATCAGAGCATATAAGAATTCATCTGCTACAGTGCCATGACTCATGGCATTGGTCCTGTTGGAATGGCTCACACGCGTCGTAAAAACAGTACAAGAAACCACAAACACATCACGCCATGAGTCCTCCGAGAGGAGCCCCTCCGGCGCAGATCCATTGAATTTCTTCAGCACTTCTGCCTTAAGCGCTCAAGTTGGGTGTCACAACTTGTTGCTGGAAGCGTTGGGCCTTTGGACCTTCACATTGAAAGCCACTTGCTCCTTACATCCTGGAACCTCAAGCGATTCCACGTACGCCCCGAGGGCGGCGCTCCCGGGTGCTGGCGCTGCAGGAAGCTGCCAAGAGCTGCTGCCGCGGCAGCGCAGGGCCTGGGCGAAATCTTGCGATGGCCAATCTCCCGACATCTTGCCATGGCAAACAAAGCCCATCCGCACAGGAAATGGTGATTTGATTGTTGGTTTCAGGAAGTGCCTGCTCGAAACACAAAAGGGAGCAGCTTTCTTGGTTCCTGGGGCTCGCTCACAAAACTTTCGCCAAAGTAAAAATAACTTTCGATCGCGTAGCTTTCGCGGCGCAACCGGGAATTATCTCAATACAAGGGACCTTTCGGACGACTCTCTGAATGAAGAGTAGGACTTCTTGGGGGGGGAGGGGCGCAGCATGCCGCAGCTCTCTAGGAACCTCAAGTTTGCCCTGGAATGACTGCAGCTGGCCTGCAGATGGGCAGAAACACACGCCAACTCAGGCCGGGACTCGCCCAATGCTCCTGCGATAATGATAAAGCGAAGGCCACCGGCCTTGGCCCAACTTCCCCTCACTGTGGCATCTAAGATAGATCGCGCTCGGGATGGATCTTGGCTCCAGGCAGCAAGGCTGGGCGGAACGAACTTGTACAGGGAAAAGGCCGCTAAGGGGTACATGTCAGAGCCTCTGTGCAAGTGGATTCCTGTGAGCTTTCCGCCAGGAAAAACATGCGGCAAGTGTAAGGGCAAGGCTGTTGAAGTGCGGGAAGCACCTGAAGTGAATTACAGCCTCGATCCCAGCGAGGTTTTACCAACTTCAGCTCCGGGTGCTTTGGTCGATTCAAACAGGAAGACTCGGAGTTGCTGGCAAGCCGCATCATGCCGCAGCAAGAACTTGGAGACAGCCTCAGCAAATTGAGGCCACAGGCCGCTCCCATGAAATCACATCGGCAAGCTGCTTAAGCTCTCAAACTGCAACTGGGCGCCTATGCTGCCTCTGCACCACTCTTGCGCAGGGCTCGACGCGTCTCTGCCTCGGCATGCTGTTGCAACAAAAGCATGCCATCTTTGGACATATTACATTCGGAATATCGATTGTCTGCGGCTCAGCCAGCTGGCAACGCTGGGCAGCCTGCTCGCACCAGGGGCAGAGCCGAAAACCAGCTGCCCAGGCCTTCCACTGCACCCGCCCGCACAAAGACTCTCCAAAATGCTGGGATTCTGGCATGAATGCGGCCACCTCCAGTCCTGGCAGCTTCACCATCCGCTGGCAAACGAAAACAAGGCGCCTCGCCTCCCGTGTCGGGCACGCTCTGCAGGCTATGTCGAGCTCTTTGGAAGAATTTCCTGCAACAACTCTGCTCTAAACTATTTATATCTTTGAAACTTCTTGAACTCTGGCTCTCCCGGCGGACTTCTCTGGCACGATTGTGTGCAAGCGTGTGTGTGTGTGTGTGTGTGTGTGTGTGTGTGTGTGTGTGTGTGTGTGTGTGCGTGTGTGTGTGTGTGTGTGTGTGTGCAAGCGTGTGTGTGTGTGTGTGTGTGTGTGTGTGTGTGTGTGTGTGTGTGTGTGCAAGCGTGTGTGTGTGTGTGGGTGTGTGCGTGCGTGCGTGCGTGCGTGCGTGCGTGCGTGCGTGCAAGTGTGTGTGTGTGTGTGTGAGGGTGGGTGCGTGCGTGTGCGTGCGTGTGCAAGTGTGCACAAGTGTGTGCAAGTGTGTGCAAGTGTGAGCGTGCGTGCGTGCGTGCGTGCGTGCGTGCGTGCGTGCGTGCGTGCGTTGCGTTGCGTTGCGTTGCGGTGCGGTGCGGTGCGGTGCGGTGCGGTGCGGTGCGGTGCGGTGCGGTGCGGTGCGGTGCGGTGCGGAGCGGAGCGGTGCGGTGCGGTGCGGTGCGGTGCGGTGCGGTGCGGTGCGGTGCGGTGCGGTGCGGTGCGCGTGGCATGGGTGCGCGTGCGGTGCGGCGTGGCGTGTGCGTCGTGCCGCAGCGGGCCGCGCGCGCGCGGCGTGTGTGTGTGTGTGTGTGTGTGTGTGTGTGTGTGTGTGTGTGTGTGCGTGCAAGTGTGTGTGTGTGGGTGCGTGCGTGACTGTGTGCAAAAGTGTGTCTGTGTGCGTGCGTGCGTGCGTGTGCTTGCGTGTGTGCAAGTGTATGGGCGCGCGCGCTCTCGCGTGCGTGCGTGCGTGCGTGCGTGCGTGAGCGAGTGCGTGCGTGCGTGCTTGCGTGCGTGCGAAGTGCGTGCGTGCGAAGTGCGTGCGTGCGAAGTGCGTGCGTGCGAAGTGCGTGAGAGCGAAGTGCGTGCGTGCGAAGTGCGTGCGTGCGAAGTGCGTGCGTGCGAAGTGCGTGCGTGCGAAGTGCGTGCGTGCGCTGCGTGCGAGTGCGCGCAAGTGCGTGCACGTGCGTGCAAGTGCGCGCAAGTGCGCGCAAGTGCGCGCAAGTGCGTGCACGTGCGTGCAAGTGCGTGCAAGTGCGTGCAAGTGCGTGCAAGTGCGTGCAAGTGCGTGCAAGGGCGTGCAAGCGCGTGCAAGTGCGTGGAAGTGCGTGGAAGTGCGTGCAAGTGCGTGCAAGTGCGTGCAAGTGTGTGCAAGTGTGTGCAAAGTGTGTGCAAGCGTGTGCAAGTGTGTGCAAGTGTGTGCAAGTGTGTGCAGGTGCGTGCAAGTGCGTGCAAGTGTGTGCGTGCGTGCGTGCGTGCGTGCGTGCGTGCGCGTGCGCGCGTGCGTGCGTGGGTGGGTGGGTGAGTGTGTGTTTGTGTGTGTGTGTGTTTTTCTTTGTGTGTCTGTGTGTGTGTGTGTGCGTGCAAGTGTGTGTGTGTGGGTGCGTGCGTGCTACGTGCGCGCGTGAGTGTGTGCAAGTGTGTGTGTGTGTGTGCGTGGGTGCTTGCGTGCGTGCATGCGTGCGTACGGGCGAGCGTGTGTGCAAGTGTGTGTGTGGGGGTGCGTGCGTGCGTGTGTGTGCAAGTGTGTGCGAAAGTGTGTGTGTGTGTGTGCGCGTGTGGGTGCGTGCGTGCGCACGTGTGTGCAAGTGTGTGCGTGTGTGGGTGCGCGCGTGCTTGCGTGCGTGCATGCGTGCGTACGGGCGAGCGTGTGTGCAAGTGTGTGTGTGGGGGTGCGTGCGTGCGTGTGTGTGCAAGTGTGTGCGAAAGTGTGTGTGTGTGTGTGCGCGTGTGGGTGCGTGCGTGCGTGCGTGCGTCAATGTGTGCAAGTGTGTGTGTGTGTGCGTGTGTGGGTGCGTGCGTGCGTGCGTGCATGCGTGTGCGCAAGTGTGTGTGTGTGTGTGCGTGCGTGCGTGCGTGCAATTGTCTGTGTGTGTGTGCGTGGGTGCATGAGTGGGTGCGTGGGTGCGTGTGTGCAAGTGTGTGTGTGTGTGTGCGCGTGTGTGTGTGTGTGTGTGTTTGCGGGTGCGTGCGTGCGTGCGTGTGTGTGAGTGCGTGCGTGCGTGTGTGCGCGCGTGTGCGTGTGTGCAAGTGTGTATGTGTGTGTGTGGGTGGGTGTGTGCGTGCGTGCGTGCGTGCTAGTGTGTGTGTGTTGTGTTTGTGGGTGCGTGCGCTCGTGCGCGCGTGCGTGTGTGCAAGTGTGTGTGTGTGTGGGTGCGTGCGTGCGCGCGTGCGTGTGTGCAAGTGTGTGCGTGTGTGTGTGTGTGTGTGTGTGTGCGTGGGTGCGTGCGTGCGTGCGTGCGTGCGTGCGTGTGCGCGTCCATGCGTGCAAGTGCGTGCAAGTGCGTGCAAGTGCGTGCAAGTGCGTGCAAGTGTGTGCAAGTTGTGTGCAAGTGTGCGCAAGTGTGTGCAAGTGTGTGTGTGTGTGTGGGTGCGTGCGTGCGTGGGTGCGTGCGTGCGTGCGTGTGTGTGTGTGGGTGTGTATGTGTGTGTGTGTGTGTGTGTGTGTGTCTGCGCCTGTGCACGTGTGTTTGTGCTGGCGTTTCTGAGTTTGTGTTTGGCGCGTGTGTGCTAGCAAACATTTCTCCCCCCAGCAAAATGCACGTTCCATCTGCCAGTCTTGCCAAGCGACTCCAAGCTTCTTTCTGCCTGCTGGTTCGCGGCAGGAAGTCCGTGAAGCGCCCGGCCTGATGAACCACCAGGCACATAGAATCATAGAACGCTTTGGCATGAAGCTTTGGCCCATAGCTTCACCCGGGCAGCCGGCTGACTCTTGACCGCTGCTGGTCATGAAGGCTGCTCCAAGCTTGGCGAGCGCGGAAGCACACAGGATCAGTGCTGCCAAGAAACCGCAGATGCACATTACACTAACAAAAGCTCGAAAATGCTGTGGCCGTCACAAGCTCAGCCAAACCACGAGCCTCGCAACAGCACATTACTCTAGTCGCTGCTCCAACGCTCACAACATCCAAAGGCCTGCCAGTAAACGGAGAGGCTGTTGCCAATAAGCCGCATCTTGGTGGGCATTGCGCCTGACTCTGTTGCCATGGCTTTTCATTTCGGTTTATGCTTTGCCACACGTGTTCCCTCTTGTGATCTGGTTTGAGTTCCTTATTGGCTTGAACTGCGTTGGAGGGCCGGCCTCTGTGACTCGCATCAATCAAACAAGCAGCTTGCACCAAAGCACCCGCCTTCAACCAGGGTTGCTCCCTTTGCCTGCAGGTAAGTTGAGCCGGCATAATGGACAATAGGGCTCGAATGTCCATGACGCACTTGTGCGCTGTTGCGCTTGTCACCCCAGCTTGCAAGATTGCGCTTTCACGTGTTTGAACCTCCCAATGCCCAAGTCAAAGGCTCCCTAACCTTGACTCTTGCCAAGGGCCCTCCGAATGTTCAGAATCCTCTCAGCCAACGGCCTCTAACACACTGACGAGCTCGGCAGGCTCTGCTTGGGGACCTCGTGCAGGTGAAGGCCGGGTGTGAGAACCTTCAAGCATCAACCTGAAGTTTGCCCTTGTTAAAGTAAAGATAGTGATGATCGTGAAGTTTAGAGTGTAGCCTTGGTGACTCGACCAGCTCTCGAGGAGACAGTTGCACCGAAAGCTGAGAGGCGGCACACATCTTGTAGAAGGTCTCTGAGCGGCCTTTTCGTCCTTGCCTGACAGCTCAAAACCCACGCCCTGTCATTGCGAATGCTTGCTTTGGAGCATTCAAATCAATTCACAAAAGTTACGAGCATGGCATGTGTTCAAGCAAACAGCCTGTTCTCCTCAATGGCCATGGCAATGAAGTCAGGCGCATCTGCCTGCCAAGCTTCAAGTGCCAAATTCCAGCAGGAAAATGCACAGTGCACTTGGGCCTCACCGTCGCGCTGTGCGGCGTCCCGGCTGTAGACAGCTCGCCACAAGTTCCTCGACGCGACCAGAATGAAGGAGCAATGAGCAAACTCATGCATGTACTTGCGATAGTAGTCATGACACATTGAACATATGCATTCATGAGGAGGGACTTGACCTTCAACTGGTAACTGCAGCCTTGTCAAGTTCTGGGGCCCGCACTTGTAATGGTTGAACACCTTTGCCTGACAAATATGCACGTGCCCGCACGCATCCGCACGCATCCGCACGCATCCGCACGCCATGCCGGTCTCGTGAATTGTCTCTGCCTCTGTACCAGCAAGATCCCAGCCAGCCAAGACCTCCTGTCTCACAAAGTGAAAACTCCAAACTCCGGCAGAATTGATCTTCGTATATCTTCGTACTTTCCTTTGTTCATGAGCTGCCGAAGAAAAGTCACATTCGATGCGCAAGTCGGTGTCCAGCTCCTCCGGGTCCTCCTGAGGCAACGCCTCATAGAGGAGCCACGCCTTCGAATTTCCAAAGCCGCCTTCGAATTTGAATCGCGCGGTGCAACGACCTTGACCTTGTTGAAGGTGACATGCACCTGATTCGCTTCTTGCAGCCCTTCCTGGCCACGGGCGATCAAAACTCGCTGCCTCCCTTTTTCCCGGTCCTCCAGAATTCCGTGCATGAAGAAGTGCTCCAGGAAGAGGAGCATCAGCTTCATGGCCAAAGGAGGGCCTTGGCGCCAAGTGAGCGACACTTGGCCCAACTTGTGCTCATCAAGGCATCTTTTGGCTATGGCCTGGGCAAGTGCGAATGGTCTGCTGCAACACCTGGGAAGCATAAGATATATTGAATACATGATCCCGTGACTGCTAGAACTTGAGCTGTTAGCTTCTGCGTCTCGAATGGCCTTCTTGACGATTTCCTACGCGAGCCATCTCTGTTTGCAAAGTCAGCTGGATGAGAGCTCTCTCCCTAGAAACAGGTATGCCCACCAAGGGCTTCATCTTGGAAACAATCTAAACATGCTCCAGGATTGCGGTCCGCGCATGCAATATGCAGGCACCTTATGATACCTCATTATGATCACAGGAAGCTTTGTAAGAAAACTTCCGTAATCACGTGCGAAAAGCGCGGAGGGTTCGGAAAGTTGCCCGGCGGCATGCTCACGCAGACTGTTTCAGAGGCGCGTTTCGTGTGACAGGCGCATCATTTTGGCGACCTGGCAGACGCAGCATTTCCATGGGCATGAAAATGCAAATCTCACATGTTTTGTCGGGTGCAAGAGTGACTATTTGAGAGGGCTAACTGGTAAAGGGGGTCCCCACAAATCAAAGGTGTAAACATTGAGGTGGAAAGGAGACACCACACACCCACCTCACTCAAGCCACCACAACGCTGCAAGCTATGACCCTCCTGACTCTCGTGCAGCTTCGACGACGCAAAGTCCCAGCCTTGCTAGAGCGAAGTGAGAGCCGCAATTTGCCGAATCTCTCTGAGGCATCGGCTCGACCAGCTCCAAATCACACTCCGAGAGCACAGCTCCCTTAAGGACGCCAGGTCTGTGAAGTGCCTGGACACGATTCGATGCCATTCAACGCTGTGCTAAGCCAGCCTGGACAGCCCTGTGGACTGGAAGTCCAGCCTTTGCTTTTGGACTCGCAAGCAACTCTTCTTCCGACTTCCTCGATGTTAAGCATCCAGGCACGCTTTCGAGCTGTACTGGAAAGCCTCAGACATGAGAAGGTATGCAAAGCCGACCCAGCCTAGTTCAGGTCAAGTCTCCTACAAAAAACGCAAGTATTCCGTATCTCACACTCTGCATTCTACCCCTGGCCATTTGCCGGCCCCGTTGCCCTCCTCACTGTTGCCAACGGAACTTCTCAAGGGGCGCGAGTGCAATCATCATGCGCGTTGAGAGCCAGTCGCTCTAAGAATCTAAGGGCCAGACCAGAAAAAGCCACTGCGGCTTGTAGCCAACCTGCAGATTATACACGCCAAGGGCAAAGCGAACGGGGTGCTCCCGGCCAATCAACTCGAGCTGGACACGCCGAGCCTGCGCACAGAAGCACTCTACACAACTCTCGCTACGAGTATGAGTAGCAGAAGGCCAGCATTGTGCTATATTGCTTGCAATCCGCCCCCGACTTTTCCCACCAATTGTTTCACTGTCCCCTTGAGCTGGCATTCAGGTTGACACCATGGGCCCATCCCAGGCCTGCATGGCGGATGCGCTTTCCGAAGCACCCATGGCTGGCTCGCTCCATGAACCGCAACGTGTCTTGCATGGCAATTGCAGAGGTCGCCATGCTGAAAAATCAAGTCTTGTGCCTGTCCGGAACTGGTCAAGGTGTGAGGTGAAGCCAAGAAATGCGCGCACTTGCATGAGCCCAACGGCTGGCCGGCAGACGGATCTAAGCCAAGCATCCTAGTGTCTCTTAGCCGGTTGCACACCTCCTTGTGAGCGGACGGGGAAGCTAAAGGCAGGTGGACCCAGGAAATGAGGCCATCATGAGCCACACTTGAAACTAGTGCTAGCCCAATATGGAAGGCCCAAAGCTGCTACATTGAAGACTCATTGGCTTGTCCTCAGACCCATCCAGCATATATGGGACCGTCCCATAGATAAAGCAAACGTGATCTGACAACAAGCACCGCGTCTGAAGCTGCCCGCCTTCTCTATGTGATCAGGCGGCCTTGGTCAAGCGACACTTGGCTTTAAATGGACAATCCCTGCGAAACTAGATATGTCTTCTTCCTGTCGTCCAAACGTACCTGGGGGTCTTTTGCGACAAGTCCTCCCCAAAGTTTGCGATTCGCCTTCGCAGGAAGAATCGGTGGAGGCATGAGCTGGGGTACTCTTGGCGCCGCAGGCGTGGCAAGCAGCTCAGGTGCGGGCTTGCACGCAGAGGCCTGAAGGCAGACATGCTCCATCGCAGTCACTTGCGCATCTAAACAGTCCAATCTCATGATCCAAGAACAAAACCTGCTACAAGTCTTGAGAACTGCACGCCCGTGCGCTAAGTCCCTTCGCTTCCAGCTCAGGGCCCAGACGTGTTGTTCGCTAACCTTAAGCCCTCAACGCAAGTGGGCTTATGCTAAGCAGGGCTTGCGCAGTGCTGAAGAGGAATTCGTCTCTTGCCCATATCTTGCGCGCACGCGCAGGTGACACAAATTGTGAGGGACCCGTAGAGACTCGGAAGTTCAACTGCTCACAACAACCTCCTGAAACAAAAACAAACCGCAAGGAGTGGCTCCAGCATTGCATGTATCACAGCTCTGCAGGTCATTATCTGCGGGGCTTTGCATCACCAAACGTGTTGAGCGACAGGCGTGCTAGCGCGTCAGAGCTGCAGCTTTCGCTTTCACATTGGCTTTCTCTCGTTTCGCGGCACCCAGTGACTATGCAACCTGACTACAACCGCAGCGGAGAACCGTACAAGTGGTTGTTGGATGTTGCCTCCCAGGAGGCACATGCTCTAGCTTCAGTTTGATAGCTGCCTGCTAGCGCGGTGCTAGCAGCTAGTGCGCGGAGTTGCGGATGCTTCAGCTTGTTGCCGGCCACCCTTGTCACAGAAGGGGCCACATGAACCACTGCGGAGGATGCATAAGAACATCCACATAGACTAGACTACATGACCACAGGCTTTGGCCACGCTACGGGTGGGATTTGCATGATTTAGGTGGGGGCCTGCTTCGTCCGGAAAAGGAAAACAACAAGACAAACTGCACGACTTGCAAGGCTTTGCCTGGACATCACCGGCATTGGTTGAGTGCATCCAGCCACGCCAGCAAAATTTGGGGTAATTAAACAAAAGCCTCCCAGCTCTGCAATGCTGTGCCTGGGCATCACCCAACTTATTTGCCTGCGTCCGGGCTGTCCCTGCATTATCAACAACATGGCTGTCCACATGTCCAGCTTCTTGGCAGCTGGATCAAAAAGCAACGTGCGACAGAAATGGCATGAACATGCATGGGCAAGCGGCCAGCTCCGGCCGGCCTTGACGGTCACGCCAGGCACTGGAAGGGTCCTGACAGCTCTGGAAATCAATTGCTCAATGGTAAGCTCACAATTCTGACAAGGACTTCCACTGTGCATACTTTGCTTCCCTTTGAAGCTACATGTCCCCGACTTTTAGACATACTTCCACAGGCGAGCAAAGGCATGCACAGCTGTGACAGATCATAGAAGTTCTTACTTTGAGGATCTCAAGGATCGAACAAATTGAGCAAAAATTGACCAGACTGGCCTGCTTTGGCTGAGGCTGTTGGTCGTCTCTTTCTTAGCATTCTCCATGCCTTTGCCGATTCTCTTGTTTTCTTTGCTTTGGCTTCTTTTGTCGCTTCCTTTGCTTCTGCTCCTGCGTTTTCCTTTGTTCCTGCTGCTGCTTTGGCGTTTGCCTCTGCTTCTGCTTCGGCGTTTGCCCCTGCTTCTGCTTCTGCGTTTGCTCCTGCTTCTGCTTCTGCGTCTGCTCCTGCTTCTGCTTCTACGTTTTCCCCTGCTTCTGCTTCTGCGTTTGCTCCTGCTTCTGCTTCTGCGTTTGCCCCTGCTTCTGCTTCTGCGATTCCTCCTGCTTCTGCTTCTGCTTCTGCGTTTGTCCCTGCTTCTGCTTCTGCTTCTGCGTTTGCTCCTGCTTCTGCGTTTGCTCCTGCTTCTGCTTCTGCGTCTGCTCCTGCGTTTGCCTCTGCTTCTACTATGTCGTTTCCTTCTGCGCTGACTCGCGCTTCTGCTTCGGCTTCTGCCTTTGGAAGCAGTGCTGCGACTTCTTGCCTTGTGCCCGCTCCGGCTTCTGCTTCTGCTGTCGACTTTGCCTTTGATCTTGATGTCGTTGCGCGGGCTCTCGGCATGCTGTCTGGGCTTCTCATCCTCTTCAGGAGCTCGAACCTTTGGCTTTTCTGAAGCCGCTGGACGCTCGACCTGAGTGCTCTGCTCAACGCCTTCGTTCTGACCTGGCTGCTCAACTTGTGCTGCCACTTGCCCTTCAGCCGCTTGTGCCGACTGCTTTGCAGCTTCTGCTGCGGGCGCTGCACATTCTGCCGCTTCCTCTTCATCACTGCTGCCCTCCATTCTGGTTGTGGTGTGGCCTGCAGTGCGAGCAACAAACAGACGTGAAGGAAGCTCATGACGTGGCCGATCCTGTGCGAGCTAGTCGGATGCAGCGTTTATGCGTTGGCAACTTCAAATACAATACCGTGCCAAGACCTCACACAGAGAAGCGGACAGTTTGATGTAGTTCGGTGCTGTTGTACAAACATCCTGGAGATTGATTTGGACAACCCTAAAGAATATTTTGATGCGCACATCGCCTATCCACATGCAACAGATTTCATGTCATTCAAGCAACACATTCCGCCGCGAATTGTTCACGCATGCGCTCACAACAAGCAAAGGCCGCCACGTGGATAGTCATGGAAAGAAACACGTGAATCACACAATGCCCGCGTCCAATGTACTCTTAGAGCACATGGTAAGAAGAAACGAACAAAGGGAAATAAAGTCCGAGGTATTCATCTGTCAATGCTCCTTGAACCATTCGCTGACAATCACACTAGAAATGAGAGAGAGAGAGAGAGTGTGCGTGTGCAAACAGCATGACATGCTGAAAGTGGGGCACTTCACGTAACATATCTTGGGGATATATGGAGTCACTTGCTCCAAAGCTGTCAATGCCGCGCAGCGCTTTCAGCCGTGTAAACAGCAAACGTATAATGAATGAGGATTGAGAGTTCAAAAGCACAAGTAGCAGCATCAAGAAAAATCACGTTGGTTCTGAAGAAATTGTGCTTATCACATGCTGATGCGTTGAAAGTGAAGTGACACAATTAGCAAACTTATTGCCTACAAACAATCGCACACCGATAAACATCGAAGAGATGCCGTTGTTCTGTATTTATGAGGCTGTCATATGCCAATAGTTTGCAAGACGTAAACATTTTTCCGCACCAGCATAGCTGAAGGCTTTATCCCTCCCCATGGATACTTGTCGGTTTCTTGCCTGTGTACCTTCCCCCTCCCTTAATCTAGTGTCTATGTGACAGCACCGTTTGGGGCTCACACGTTCGGTATTTGTCTGCGCAACCGCTATTGTTCTTGACCCTTTCCCTCATATTGTCTGTCGTGTCCGGATGCCACAATCTAATTGGAAGTGAACATTGTGTAATGAACTGCTTGCCTCGCCGCATACTTTGCAATGGGCGCATTGCCTGGTGCTGAAAAAAAACAGTGTCAATAGCTGCAGATGTGTTTGATAGTCCGATAAAACGGCCTGAAAAAACACTCTGTGAATCAGTCGCAAGTTGTCATTACAGTGTAAAGTAAACCGTTCCTTGAGCTTTGTAAAGGGCGGCGAGTGAAGTGCTCATATGTCAAACAATTGTTTAATGGCAGAGAGTATTGTGAATCCTCACTTTGCTTCTATCGTATCTGCACATTGCACTTTGCACAAATGCCGTGCTCAACATCTCTTAGAACACAAAATGCTGCTTTATCGTACTATCTGATGGGGATTTATAGCTGGGGAGGGATATCAGACACATTTCCCCCCGGAGCGGGAATGGAGCAAGTGGTGGGAAACGCGGAGAGTTTCAGAAGCGCAAGTGATCAGTCTCTTAGATGACTCGATTTGGCACCATGTTTGAAAACCGTCACACACACAGAACTCAGCATGTTCTTGCTTCATGCCCAATCACATACATGAACCTTTACACTTCTTGTATTTTCCATGTCGAAAGCATGGAAACAGCATCTCGCAAACCCGACTTAGCCTGTCGCCCAAATAGTCTGAGCGCCTCACTATTGTCGCGGGTCCTAAGCGCTGTCGATTTCAACGCATCCAACAATGCCCGTGCTGCATCCTAAACCATGGCATCTGCGTGTTTAGTCTGAACGCATTAGCTTGGCGCATGCAACTTTTAATGCTTCCAGGCACCCTGGCACCGGTGCAGCCACAGCCTGCACCGTCCACAAGCATCAGCGGCAACGAGTTGTTGCAGAAAAGCTTGGGCTAAAAAAACTTTTCGTGGACGTGTAGTTTGCGAAACATGCTTTGGCAGCTCCAGCTCGAACAGCCGAACTTATGATGCACGCACAGCCTAAGAAACATCCAACCAACAAAACGCCCATCAACGTGCATACAACAGTGGCCGATCTCTCAAAGGGATTCAAAGGGGCTGGCTTAGGTGCTTCAATGACAAAGCACTGCTTGGAACAACAACGCAAAAAGACTAGAGATGTATCCTTTAGCTTCATAAGCCGAGTACTGAATTAAATGCAAAGCCGTTTCATACAATCCCAAGTAATCCTGTCTGTGCCAGGTTAGAAGGGGTCCTTCGTGCAGTGACAAAGGGGCACTGTGTCTCGATCTGGTGGCGGCCTCCACTGGAGCTTGAGTTGCAGGCCTCGGGCCAGCGAAAAACCAGCGAAGCATGAATTCATATGTATAATATAAATACTTGTTAAAGTAGAACTGACTGTGTAACCACGTAACTACCTGAATGTGTGCAAACCTGTGATGTGTCAGCGCGGCACTCGTTGTCTCGTTGCAGCATGTAGCCTCTGTTGAATGTAATTGCTCTGGACCTGGGTGTCAGGTCGAGATGGTCAGGTCACAGCGCCAGGCGAGGATGTGGAGGTCCATGGTGTTGGCTGTAGCCAGATTCGCGGAGATCATCAAGAACAATGTTGTCATGATCGCATCATGTGGATTGGTTGTAAGCGCTGTGGAGTCAAAAGCCGGTCTCCAAAGCCGAGGCGTGTCCTCCTCAGTGGTGAGGGCAATGTAGTTGGCCAACGTAAGAACCTCCAAACCAAACAGATGTAAACAAGAAATGGCTGCAGAGATGTATCAAAGCATTGCGTGAGACATGCGCAGACTGTCATACAAATGTAGTATGCAAAAAAGGGATAGATGTAGTTGCGAAAGCGAGGGTCGATCCATGGCCTTGTACCTACCCTAAAAGACTGTAAGTGCGCCGGCTGATATGTAGTGAAACAAACACATGTGTGAACTGTGCGACAGTTGTTTAACATACTGTGCGCACTGTGTGAAACTCGTTGTGGTGGCCTCAAAGGCAAACTGCATATGTGTGTTTGTTAAGTGTAGCACAGCCAACAAACTTGGTGAGAATGTCGGCTGGGTTGTCGTCTGGTTTTGCTTTGCGCATTGTGGTGAGTTTGCTTTTGACAAGTTGTTGTATGAAGAGGTGTCGCAATGCACCTTCTCTCATTGCTATTGATTTTGCTGCGCTGCTGTCTGTGTATATCCTGATGTTGGTGCGTACTTCAAACGCTTCCTTGATGAAGTTGCTGATGTAGAGGCTCTCCCGCGCTGCTGTACCACATGCGTACAGTTCTGCTTCTGCTGATGAAAGTGCTATTGTTGCTTGTGTTCTGCTGCCATAGTGTACCGCTGCTCCAAAGAAGTATAACACAAACCCTGTTGCGCTCTTCCTTGTTGTCTCGCGTGATTCCTAGTTGGCATCTGTGTATGTGTCAATGTTGAGTGGAATTTGTTTGTCCTGTGTTTGTATCTTTGGTCGCAGGTTGTGTCTCATGTACCTTGTTCCTTTAAGGTACCTGATCATGCGCTTGAGCTTCTTGTTGTCAAATTGCGTTGGTGCTTGTAATGATCTTGCTGATGTCTGGTCGTGTGTGTGCTAGCCATTGTGTCTTGCCAACAAGCCGCCTGTATTGCTTGTGTTGCTTGTGATCAAGCGCCGCTTCATCTTCTGTTGTAGCCTTCATGTGTGACTCTCCTGGTGGTGGTGCTGGGTTGCATGTAATCATTCCTGACTCTTCCAGGATGATGCCAACATAGCTGTTGTTCAAGCTGATGTCGATGTAGTTGCCTTTATGTGAGATGTTCCTGCCAAGGAAATGTGTTGTTCATCCCACTGTCAGGTCGCCTGTGTGTCTCAGCAGGACTTCCTTTTGCATTCTGCCTAACAAGGTGTCGATGATGCTTTGCACTCCTATGAATAGGAGATTGTCTACATTGGACAACTGGGCAGTCTTTTGATCTGTAGACATTGCTTTCTGTTGTGCATCTCACAAGTTCAAGTGTGACTGTGAGAATGTGTGCAATGTGGTCTTGCCGTTGTTTTGGTGATGATCTCAAGCCATAAATGGCTTTGCTTAGCCGCCACATTATGTGTCTGTTTCCTTCATTGTAGAACTCGTGCGGTGCTCTCATTACCAAATTGTATGAGATTGCTGCTGAATGTACAAATGCAACACTTACATCTCCTGCGCAGACCCACCAGTTGTAAACCCGTGCCATTGTGAGAAGTACTCTCAGTATGCAAAACAGTGGCGTACTTGCGAAGAGTAGATTGTGGTCTGTAACGGGTTCTGTGTAGCCTTTTGCTACTATGCGTGCTCGTACTTCGTTGTGTTTTTGTTTGAGAACCCATCTTGGTTTGATGAGGTTTGCTTGTTGTTCTGGTGTCATTGTGTTGCCATCAATCTCTGTGAAGACTGATTGGTCTTTCACTTGTTGTACTTCTTTCTTCATGCCTTGCGCTACCTGTTGTGGATCCAGGCCTTCTGTCTCATGTATGATCGGCTCTAGTAGGCTCCTCTCGTTCTCGATTTCCTGTATGTCCTCATTTGATGTGGTCTCCATTTGTTTACCATCCTTTGTTGTAAACTTGATGGCATAGATTCTCATCTGTCCTTTTGGTTGTTCGGTTGCTGTAGGCCGCTCGAGCGCTTGTCTCTCTCTGCTGCGATTCGCTGTCGCTTGCCTGCGCTGCCTTATGCTACTGCGTCATCTCTTTCTCTGGTGAGTGATGTAGGCGGTGGTGCTGGCAATGCTGGTCGCTTCTGATGTGTTGGTGATGTAGCCATTGGTGATGTTGGCTCTGCTGTCTTCTTTGTCTGCTGATCACTTGCTTGCGATGCGCTCTTTCTCTTGCCTTCTGCTGCTGCGCTTGTTGTCGCATCCTTCTGTGATTGTGGCGCTTTACTTGTAGCTGGCATTGTCAGTTGTGTTGTGAGAGTTGGTGTAGTTGCTGTTGGTTGTATTTGTGAGGCATTATCTGCCTTCTGATTGTCCTTGGTCTGACGATCCTGTTGTAGATCTCAAGGGGGGAGAATCTGTGGTTGTATCCTTGCCAAGCCAGATTCCATTGTAGAATCTTGGCTCGGGTTTTTGAAATTGTTTCACTGTTGGTAGCATGTGTTGCACTGTCTCACCAAACTCACAAAGTGGTGTGTGTTGCTCTCCGTTCCATCTGCTAGCTTGTGCATCCATTTGCCGTGGACTGCATACCTGTTCTGTGTCGAACTGTCCAAGGCATGAGTGGATGTTTCATTGAGATGTCTCTGTTGTAGTTCTGCCTGATTTGTGCCTTGAGTGTTCTGATTTGTGCAAACAGTGTTCTGTGCGCTCGCCCTACTCCGCCTTGTGATTGTGAACTGTATGCTCCTGAGTTCCTTGTGGTGATGTTGCCCTTCCTGTTGGCCACTGCTGTGGTAAGCGCTGTCAGGAAGTCTTCCTGATCTGATTGTAGTATGGTGTGTGTTGTTCTTCCACATTCAATGAGGAAGCGCTGTAGCTGTGTGACTGCGTAGTCGAAAAGCATCCTCTTGTCAGTCAGTTGCATTGCCATGATCATCCCGGATTGGATGTCACTTGCTGTGAGAATCGGATGTACGTTGCTGTCATCAAAGCCTGTGATGCAGCCGAAGTCAAGCTGTATGGTCGGAAACTTGCTGCGCTGCTTTGCGTGATTTTTCTGCGCGCTGTGCCTCTTGCTTGTACGGATATTGGACACCAACTCCTGTAAGGAAGGTGTGTCACGTTGTGCTCCTGTGGTGTTGCATCTTCTACCAATCTTGTGTTGTGTCTTTCTCCAACTGGTTGTGCCTTGGTCTCTCTCCAAGGTATGAGTCGCTTGATGTCTGGCCCGTCGTGTGTCTGCTCTGGTATGTAAAACGCTGTTCGAGGCTCGACGTGTGCCCTCTTCCAGTGTGGGCCTTCTCTGTACCAGTAGTCTTCTCCAGGATGTACTTCTGAAGGATGTGGTAGTCCATGTCCAGCTGCGCCGTATTGTTGGTGGTGTTGTTTTCTCTCTCAATCGTGTCCTAGGGTTGTGCTGGATTACTTGTGGTGTGACCTTCTGTGGCTGTGTCTTTGTTGCAAACTGTTGCTGTAGTGTCTCTGGCAATGTTGTGCCTTTCCTGATCCTGAATGCTGTTTCGCCTTTCCACATTTGCTGTTGCGCTTTGTTTAGCTCTTCCATTGTTTGACACTTGTCCTCAAACGTGTTCGTTGTACCATCCTTGAATCTGACGGCTGTTCTCCTGTAGTCCTCAAGTTGCTGGGGCTGGACACTGTGTTCTTGATGGTGTGAAGAGTGTCTTCCTGTGTTGTCTGTGTGCTCTGACAAGTTTGCCTTTTGTGTTGAACTGCCAGTGGTCTCCTGCGTATCCTGTATCTGCAGGACCTTGTGTGGTGTCAGTGTTGTGGTCGGCGCTATCATGCCAATCTGTCCTTGTTCTGTGCATCTGTAGCTTTGTTCCTTTTGGCAATGTTGTGGTTTCTGCTTGTAGGAAGAACAGGCCATTTCTGTTCTCCAATGCGCTGTTGAATCCTTTGATGTGTTGTAGCCTTGGATTGTCATCCAATGTAAGTTGAAAACCTTGTTCCACCAGCCTTATAACTGAAAGAATCGGCTGTTAAGCGTACAAACGTAAAACGGTATGACAATTTGTTGTCCGTTGTGGTTTGTCACGCAAATCCACCTGTGCCCGAAAAGCTTGATGTGTTGGTTGGTCACTGTTCTGAGCTGTGGTCCTGGTCCTTTTTCCAGTTGGTGTAGTGTAGTGGGAATTGTGGCCCAAACCATGGTGGGCATACAATGTGTAGCCGCACCGCTGTCAATCATAAGGCTGACTCTCTTGTTGTGTTCTGTGAGTCGCCGCGCTGTGCCAATCATGGCAATTATTACTTCTTGTAAGTACCAGTTGTTGTCACAGTGTGCTTGACTGTGCCAGTCATCTGTCTGGTCGTTGGCGTCGAAGTTGCCAGTGTCACAGTGGCTAACCACATCTGTAGCAAACATTTGTTGCATGCATTCCTTTTGCTCCTTTTCCTCCTTGTTGGTTGTTGTAGTAACCTTATCCTTTTGTGGATGTATCCTTTTCCTTTGCCATATCCTTGTTGTCCTTTGAAAGGATTTCCTTGTCCAACCGGTTGTTGATTGTGTTTGCCTCTTCCTCCTTTCTAGTTGTAGTTGTTCCCGTAGCTCCAGTAGCGTTTGCCTTTGTTGTGTTTTCCTTTGCCCTTGTGTTTGCCCTTCTTTCCTTTGCCTTTGTTGTACCATTTTGCTCCTATGTCCATCGGCGCCGGTCCTTGGTTGTAGCTGCCTGATGTGATTGCTTGTGGCCTGGTGAAGGTTGCTGTTGCTCTGTAGTAATCGATCACCATGAGTCTGACCTGTGCACCTGTTGTGATGTTTCCTGCTTGCAGCTGTAGGTGTTGTTGTAGCGGGCCTTCTGTCTCATTGAGCAGTAGTTCAATCTTGACCGCGTCTGGTAGTAGTGTGCTGTTGTCTTGTTCACACTTGGAGAGTTGAAACTTCCATGTTGTGAAGCTCTCTTCGAACTTCTGTTCATCCAGTTGCGGTGTTAGTAGCCGTGTAAGGTGCCCGATGCTTCTTGCACCAACGCCAAGAGGTGTGGAGCGCCTGGCATGGATCAGTCGCCATGTCTCGAAACTGTCGCCTTGCGTGTTTTGTCTGCGTATTGTAGACGCTGGTCCATCGTGTGTGCTCACCAAGAGGTAGTGTAGGTTGTTGCTCAGTTGTATCCAATGCTCTGACATTTGCTGCGAAGGTGCTGCGTTCCCCAGCTGGTCGTTTGTGACTGGTCCTACTGATTGCTCTGACTGTCTCAGCAGTCTGTTGTATGCTGGGTCTTGCAGTCCCAAGTATGCTGTCATCTTGTATTTCCATTCCTCGAAGGTGTTGTATTCTCCTGTGAGCCGTGGTGGTGATATCTTGCACTTGTGGATTCCTTCCAGCTGCTGCTCCTGTTGCTGTTGCTGCTGTTGCTGTGCCACGTTGCTCACTACTGTGTACCTGAACCTGTGGGCGCGTGTTGGAGCTCACCCTGGGTAGTGGTCGAGGATCGTGTACCAGGGGTCGCTGCTCCGCTACCATGCTAAAGTAGAACTGACTGTGCAATCACCTAGCTACCTGAATGTGTGCAAACCTGTGATGTGTCAGCGCGGCACTTGTTGTCTCCAGGCAATGGGCTGTAGTCTATCTGTAGGCTCAAGGCCTTGATGTACAAAGGAGCAGTGCCACGTACAATACTATATATATATACATAATATTATCAAATATGAATTCCTGGAACATTGCGCATCGCTCCATTCCAAGACTTTGAAGGAATTCAAGGGCCCATGAGGGATTTTGTGAGGCCCCGGCGGCAGCACAGCAGCCGCCACCTTTTCGGGCTTCGGCCGGCGGGCCGCCTGAGAAAAAATCACAAACAGAAAGTGGCGATTGGCGCATGCCACGCCGATCACGGCGCCTCAGCCAGCAAGCTGCCCAGGAGCTGCTTGGAGACGCCGATGCTGCTGGCATCCAGCATCCTCGGCCGGAATCAAATCCTTCAGGAGACTGAGAGAGCATTGCAAGCCCGGATTTCAAGAATCTTCTGAAGATGCGTCAAGTCAGTTCAACACTTTGGCGGAAGGGGGGCAACTCCGTGACTGGGCGGCAAACATCGCTGGATGATCTTTGAGGTCGTCCAGCACCAATCTAGCCTACCAGAGTCCCATAGGGAGTCGCAAACACAAGCAACAAGAGTGAGTTACCTCATTTCAACGAGGTCGAGCCTTTGTCTTGCCCACCAAAAGGTGAAGAACTATCACCTAAGCAATCAACAGGAGGCACGAAGCGCAAACACGACGGGAGGGAAAGCAACACAATGACATCATTTTGGAGGTCTCCTCCGCGAGCACACACACACACACATTTCTCACTTTCTATGGCATGCCGTAGCCAATGGTGCACGGGCGCAGCGCTCCTACGGACCTTCTTCGATGAAATGCTTTTGCGACGTCGTTGCTTCTCATGCCTGTGTAGAGCCCTTAAACATGCACTGCATGAAGGCACGTTCTCCAGACAACGCCTGACACAGTAGTTTGCCTTTTCAAGCTTTGCCTGACAGAACGGCTTGCGCTGTGATAGATCTGAGGCTTGCTGCTCCCAAAGAGAAGATATCGAAGCTGTGACCTGCAAAAGGCGGCCACCCTGTCTGCCTGAACACCGAAGCGCAGAAAATCCAAGGCATATCCTGCCTGGCTGCTGAAAGTTCCGCACCGGGCCCTGCACATCGTCACAGGCGTCGCGAACCTGCAATGCTGCACTGCATGTGTGCTCTCGAAACGGCCAAACTCCACCAACTACGCACAGTGTCCAAATTCCAAATCCTAGCCCCAGTGTGACCCATTTGTTCACGTGGACTTTTGACTCCCTTTCTAGCCCGTCCTCCCAAGGAAGCCAGTCATATCTCTTTCGCTTCTCCTCGGTGTCCCCGCGCCGGCGAAAGGCCTTCACACAGGCCGCTTCAGACTCGATCCGGTCGATCTCAACCTCCCGGGCCTGCACCGCCATGTTGCGGTTCTCCTCCATACCAACCTCTCGTTGGAAAGCATCCCGGGAATCTCGTGGGCCATTCGATGGGCCATTCGATGATTCGAATGTTGCGCCTCTGAAGAAATCATCACCCCCAGGTCCAGGATCTGCTTTTCAATACCAGGGGAAACAACAAGCTTTCAACGGTGCGCATTCACACGGGTGTCACACTGGTTTCATCAATGCAAAAACATGGATTCTAGAAGTGGTTGGCGCACCTTGAGCTGGCACTTTGCAGTCCCATTCTCCCGTGCCTCAGTCGAAGCACTCTGACATGGACGCAAATGGACACGGGTTGCGCTCGCCAGTTGGCAGTCGCTGCTCTCCAGTGTTCTGAGGAGGGTACCAGAAGGTGCATGTTGCACCCTCGAAAGTCACGGTGAATCAATTGGAAGCGAGTCAGGTACCTCCATGACGGCTTGCCATTGCACACTCAAGTCGCGTGAGTTGCTATGGGCGCACTCCAATGCAGTGGCACATTGCAGCACTACCTGCAACCATCTCTGTGCCAGTTTCGACCCCCGAAATGCAAACGCCTCGCGTTTCTCCGACACAGACATGGCAGGCATGGCAATCTGAAGGGTCTCCCCCTTCACCAGCTCCATGACAACCTCGGGCCAAGTCCCGAAATTCTGGCCCGGGTGGGAGATTAAGCACAATCAGCAAAAGATTCTGAACGCAATCACTGGCAGGCACCCGAGATCCGGGAATCCGAGTCAGCTGAACATCTGACCCAGCTGACTCAGACTTTGTTCCCATGGGGTTCTGGCGTATGGCCTTGCTGGTAGGTCCACACCTCGAAGGACCAAAAGGAGGACATGCCACAATGTAGACATATGTAGACATGTCAATGCGCGTCGCACGGCCACGCGCTGTTTGTGTTCAAAGCGTGCCGAGGCTTCGGCGCTGCTTGTACCAGTCGAAGTCCGGGTGCTCGAAGAAGCGGCGCCGCTGGTTGAAGTCCTCGGGGCCCAGCTCCGAGAAGCCCGTGTGGTCCTCCAGATACCTGCGGGCTTCACTGCTAGGTTTCTTTCTTTTGCTTACGGTTTGTTAGGTTCCCAATGCGCATGTAAGCCATGTAATTTCTGTCTCAGTCTCACTCAGTTAGTCACTCAGTCCAGTCACTCAGTCAGTACTCACTCGGTCTGTAAGTTAGTACATCAGTCCAGTCAGTCACTCAGTCACTCAGTCAGTCAATCAGTCCAGTCACTCAGTCACTGAGTGACTGACTGGACTGATGTACTAACTTACAGATCGAGTGTCAGTCAGTCACTCAGTCAGTCAATCAGTCCAGCCACTCAGTCAGTACTCACTTGGTCTGTAAGTTAGTCATCAGTCCAGTCAGTCACTCAGTCACTCAGTCAGTCAATCAGTCCAGCCACTCAGTCAGTACTCACTCAGTCTGTAAGTTAGTACATCAGTCCAGTCAGTCACTGAGTCAGTCAGTCAGTCTGTCACTCACTCGGTTGGTCAGCCAGTCCGCCAGTCAGTCACGTCACTCACTCGGTCGTCGGTCAGTCAATCAAGTCAGTCAGTCACTCAGCCAGCCAGCCAGCCAGCCAGTCAGCCAGTCAATCAGTCCAGCCACGCACTCGGTCACGCAGTCAGTCAGTCTGTCACTCACTCGGTCGGTCAGCCAGTCAGCCAGTCACGTCACTCACTCGGTTGTCAGTCAGTCAATCAGTCCAGCCACTCAGTCAGTACTCACTTGGTCTGTAAGTTAGTCATCAGTCCAGTCAGTAACTCAGTCACTCAGTCAGTCAATCAGTCCAGCCACTCAGTCAGTACTCACTCAGTCTGTAAGTTAGTACATCAGTCCAGTCAGTCACTCAGTCACTCAGTCAGTCACTCAGGTTAGTACATCAGTCCAGTCAGTCACTCAGTCACTCAGTCAATCAGTCCAGCCACTCAGTCAGTACTCACTCGGTCTGTAAGTTAGTACATCAGTCCAGTCAGTCACTCAGTCACTCAGTCAGTCAATCAGTCCAGCCAGTCAGCCAGTCACGTCACTCAGTCAATCAGACTTGGTCACTCAGTCAGTCACTGAGTCAGTCAGTCAGTCTGTCACTCACTCGGTTGGTCAGCCAGTCCGCCAGTCAGTCACGTCACTCACTCGGTCGTCGGTCAGTCAATCAAGTCAGTCAGTCACTCAGCCAGCCAGCCAGCCAGCCAGTCAGCCAGTCAATCAGTCCAGCCACGCACTCGGTCACGCAGTCAGTCAGTCTGTCACTCACTCGGTCGGTCAGCCAGTCAGCCAGTCACGTCACTCACTCGGTTGTCAGTCACTCGCTCGGTCACTCAGTCAGTCAGTCAGTCAGTCAGCCAGCCAGCCAGTCAGTCAGTCAGTCAGTCAGTCAGTCAGTCAGTCACTCGGTCGGTCAGCCAGTCAGTCACGTCACTCACTCGGTCGTCGGTCAGTCAATCAGTCCAGCCAGCCAGCCAGCCAGCCAGCCAGCCAGTCAGTCAGTCAGTCAGTCAGTCAGTCACTCACTCGGTCGGTCGGTCGGTCAGTCAGCCGGTCAGTCAGTCAGTCAGTCAGTCAGTCAGTCACTCACCAACCCACCCACCTCCTCCCTCCCTCGCTGGCTCGCTTGCATGTACGTAGAGTTGTGCCAAACATGGGTGGAACATTTAGCATTTCTGGATTCAAGAACAGTATTCCGGCGAAAACTTCGCTGCACACAGGACGGCGCTGGGCACCTTGTTGCTAAGTGTGCGAAGAGCTTAGGAGACAAGTAGCAACAAAATGATCTCGCTCTCGAATCAACCGCCGACAGACACAGCGACCCCTCAAAATCGCTGCTGTGTGTTACAGAGTCTCTGCGGAGGCGCTCTGTGACATCCCTTTACATTGCTCTGCTGCTGCTGCATCTGCTGCTGTGGTCACCATGCGACATGAGGGACGGTCTCAGAGCGTGTCATATTGTACTTCAGCTACTTTTTGTTGATATGTATAATATAGTTGCCATAATTGAGATGCTTCAAATTTGCGCTCCCTCAAGGTCATCTGTCTTGTGCCACAATCGCTTCATCCAACTCACTGGCCGAAGAGGGGATCTTGGTTGCATTGCAAAAGCAGCCCTGATCCCGATCTGGCTCGAATCGTTCATGCCCTAATTCTTGATCGATGCTCCCTGCTTGCTCCAGTCTTTGCCAAGCACCGTGCCTAGCAAAGAGCTGCGCATGAGGTGCAGAGTACCTAGGGTCGCCACAATGTAGAAGATTATACAGCGAAGCCTCATCTCAAACTGCAAAGCCAAGAGGTAACATGCTAAGATCCACAATGCAGCTGCCGGTGATTGAGCCACACAAATGACCCCAGCCTGGGATCTTTGCTGTTGTGCAGCAGCGTCAATGACCACTGGCTTTCCCGATGCATGGCAAAGGCATGGCGGGCGTGCGCCTGCGCAGCCAAACTTTGGACGCGTTTGGACTCACATCGGGCGCTGTGCAAGGCTGTGCAAGGCTGTGCAAGGCTGGGCCTTGGAATGCTTCTTCAAGACCTTCACGGCCACTTTGCCCAAGTGGCCCTTGCAGTCCCAGGCCCGGAACACCGTCGCCAGGCCGCCCTCTCCCAAGCGGCCCTGGGCTCACGGCCCGAGCTTTACGTTGTGTCTCCCAAAGGCCAAGGTGGAAAGCCAGCCGAAAGCACCCAGCTGCAAAAGCCAGAACATCCAAAAGCCAATACAAGCCAAGCCTTAAAATGCAAAACATCCAGCAAAGAACAAACTCATCCCTCCTGCGAAGAAAAAACAAGGCTCCTTCTGGAATTGCGACTTCAAAGACTTGAGTTAGTGGCCAGGAAGCTTAGCTGAAAAGATTCTATGTGCCAGCACCCTTGCGCCTCATAGAGCCATCGTCCTTGGCCTGTTACCGGATCGTGGGCATCTGGCAGCCCCAACTTCTCCTTGTCATTGGCGCAGGTGACGCTGAAGATCGGAGCTGGCACCGCCAATTCCTCCTGACGTCCCACTCTCAGCTAGGCTCTAAGACGTTAGGCACTTGACATCGAAAACAATTGAAAACTCTCACTCTGATGTGCCTCGTCAGGCATGGCCATGGCGCCATGGCTCGCGACACCCGACTTGGCCTCCCAAAGCGCATGACGAATGCGGTGCTCCGCGTTTTCGAGTGGACTATCTGGACTCTGGATAATCCTGATTGAAAAACTCGTCTTATTGAGGTTTTGTAACGAAGGCGCAGTGCTGGGTGAAAGGTGGGTTGTGCCATGAGCAAGCTGATTCTCCATGACCTATGCCAAACCCTGCGGCACACTCATTCCAACATGTCCGCATATGCCATGATTCTACCCCAAGCAACGCAAACAGCCCATCCCAGCTTCGCCTCACCAATCCCAACCTCGCCTCGCCAATTCTACCCATACCAACTGACAAATTGAGCTTTTCAACGGAGCGACCCATCACCCATTCAGCAAGAGCCAGCAAGAACCAGCAAGAACCTTGCACCAGTCATGACAAGGACCAGGCAAATAACAGCTGACTGGGGCTCAAAGTGAGCGTCTGAAATGAGGCTGCGGACAATCGAATTATTTTGCACTTACTTTGCCGAGCATGGGATTCTCGTACGCCAACTTGCTAGCGAACTGGACGGTACCTGAGGATGCCGTCCTGCTGCCACAAGCAAGGAGTCACTTTCAAGGCCTGTCTTGCTTGCAAGGCGCCAGGCGCCTTAAAGCGCTAAGAGAGGCTGTACTAAGCGCTAAGAGAGGTGACGAGGACCACAGCTAGTTTGGGGTTGGGCTTGTCCTTGGTCTGGGGGTGGTTTGGGTGGTTTAGTTTGCCGCGAGCCATGGATTGCGGCAGTTTCCACTGGTTGACACTACAGCATGTTTACTCTGCCCCTCTGCGCGGTAGAGGTGTTCGGATGCAGATCCACCATTCTGCAGATTGTTGGGTCTGCATGTGACGCTATTCACAATAGGCTTGACATGCCCAAGTCGTACTTGGTGAGGACCCGGCGCTGGGAAGGTGCGTACTTTCCTCCGGTTTTACTGCTTGCCTGTGTGTGGTTCCTCCTAGGCAATTTGCTGGAAGTGCGCATCTTGGTTCATTAGTTGTCTCACTGGCTAAGCTTCACACTCGAGGTTGCATCCTGAAAATGTTCGTACTCTCGCATTAACAGCCAGCGGTCGGGACGCTCGAACCTGCGAATGTTCCCCCCCCCAAAAAAAAAGCAAAGAACAAAATAACGAAACATGGGGAGAAGGGTAAAAAGGGAGAGAATGATGAATGATGGGTTCGAAAAAATGTTGTTCCTTGGTAGAGCCATGCATTTGGCAGCCTCACTTAGCGTGTTCGTCTCACATTCAGATTCAACGATTCCTGAATCATTGGAAGGGACCGACAAAAAATGGAGAAAAAACAACTAAGTGCGCGTGTGGCCTACGGCGGCTCTTGAAACAAACAGCCCATTCAGGAGATCCATATGCAGAGTCCCGTCGGGAATGCGAAAAGGCCTGGTATAAACAAATATCCATTTCGCACGCAAGCATCAAAAGCGCATACGAGCAAGGAATACCACTGCCACGCGAAGCCACCAATGTCGATGATCCCAGAGACTTCTCGCCGTAAGGCAAGGCACAAATAGCATTCTGGAGCGACCCAGCAGTATGCCAGCATAGCATGGCTATACACGTGAAGCCACCGCCAAAACAAAACAACTTTAATGATCCAGATCCCCTCGGCATGGTTGTGCCCGTGTATATACCCGCAGTGACCCTGCGAAAAAAGCAAAGGATGTGCGCGCCCGAAAAGCATTCAAATTCAAAATGACAACGACAGTTTGAACCTCGCGCCGACAAGGAAGGACGAGGCTTGGGGTGGCTACCGCTAGCCAAAAGAACCGCGCGGTAAACGATGCGGGCAAATCACCATTTTCTGGCATACTGCTGGGTCCCTCCAGTTATACACATTGTTGTGAGCTACAGGAGACAGTGCATACGGCTGACGCATTCAGATTGGAATGGGCACATGCAGCTGGGTGCTTCCTTTTCGCTTGGACAGAGACTTTATAGGTTGGACATGATCCTTGGAATGATGTCTCTCCACGGCTGTTCGGCTTGCGCCCTCGGTTGCTTGCTTGTGAGATAGGCGCTACACGTGTCGGCTGCTCCTTGATACATGAACTGCTGAGAGTACGCGCCAAGCTTTGGCAAACATGGTTGCACTGGCAATGATGCAAAACCGATGCTTTTGGTTTTCCGGCTTTGGCGGAATTTGCTGATTCTGGTTCAAGCATGGAGGCAGCTGGTCATCTCACCGCCCTGGCGCACTTCATATCTGACTGCTTACCTTATTCGCTCACTGGATATGTCTTGCAATTGACACTTTCGGTGATGGGCACCAGCCCAAAGTGGCTGTTGAGGAATTCCACTAGGCGATGGTTATGCTTAACAGTGGCATGCTTTCTTGCCGCCTTGCACAAGCGGGCAGGACCCGGCATTCGTTCCAATAGCCCCGTACCAAACAAACACTTTCTCCGAGCAAAACATTGAAAAAAAAACACGTAGCAAAGCACAGACACAGCACAGCGAGCACATAACAAAGCAAAGTTACCAAAAAACAACGACGGGAGTTTGTTAGCGGTTCATCCCTCTACGCGCTTTCGCTGGCCGACCTTCAGCATTTTGAGTTTGTTGATTTTTTGCAAGTTGCCGGATCTTCACAAAGCTATCCCTCCCTCTGAGCACTGTCGGTTGGTCGACCTCAACAAAATGTTAGCGCTGTGCAAATTTCGTGGCAGGCGCAACACTTTGTGAGCCCGCGGGTCACGATAAGAACCGCGAGTGCCGATGCCTTGCGGTCTGGGCGGATTCTAGCCAGAATGGCCTCGGACTCTGGTTGGGGTCGGACGCATTGGAATGGTAACGTGCACTTTTTCGCAACCTCGAAAAAGCGAGCCCCCCAATACACTTTCCCCTAAGAAGTTTTTTTAGATGCTCAACTTGCCGGATCCGCTCTCTACGCAACTTCGGCTGGTCGACCTTGATCAACCCCTCGTTTTTACGGTATTCAAGTCGGTGGAGACTCAAAAGTGAACCCTCTACACACTTTCGGTTACCTTGAACAGCTCGTCCGGCTCGCCCGAGCTGGTAATTCACAGCTTTCATTCAAGAAATTACGCCAGCATAGAGAACATGCGCCTGCACCGTCACCTGCATGCCCCAACGAGCATCCCAAAACACCACCTGCACCAGCACCCCAAACTGCATGCCCCCTTGCCCTACCGTCAAGATGCAAAAATGCACGCGCACCGCCAAGTCAGCACCTGCAACAGCACCCCAAACTGCCTCCTAGCACCCTAACGTCAATCTTTAAAAGACGCAACCGCACTGCCACCAGCACCTCAAACAGCACCCCAAACGACACCTACACCAGCACCCCAAACTGCACCCCTCTAGCACCAGCCAATCAATCTTGCAAATCACTTTCCCCTCTTATTAGAAGCTATCTGGGGAACAAATCAAACGATCATGCAAGCTCAATAGCTTCATATTCAGGTTTGGTAGGAATCTTCCGGATTGTAAATGAAACCGGTTCTTGTAGACAGATCATCTTCAAAATAATTTGCGCAATACACAACATAGCTGGACACACATCAGCTACAACTACAAAGGACAACACGCACACACACACATGCACATCTCCTCTGCTCTTGCACTTGTTTCTAACCGCGCGAGCGAAGAACTACTCCACCAACCTTCCCTGCCACCCAACAGAATGACTGATGACAGTGGGAGGCGTCAGTGGATTTGTCGCTGAAGGCAGGTCTGGATGGAAGACAAAGACATCACGTGTATAAATACGGTCATCTAAGCAAGTCTTTCCAACACAGCATTCTGGAAACATTTCTTTGTTTTAGCTGCCAGCGCAGTTGGGCTTACTAAGCCCTCTGAAGGCAAAACATCGCGGGCTCGCACGCGATAGTGGAAATCAATAGATCAATCGCGCCAATGCTGCACTCAGGCGCGCACCAAAAAAAACCTGGCATACAGGCTCCACGCTCAGCACAGCTTTCATAGTCATTTGGGAGGCGACAATTGACTCGTGGATCGCAGCTGAAAATTGGCCATCTAAATTGCATGGTGTTTGAGGCATTTGGACAAAATGACTAGGCCTGAACCTGGATTCAAAGCATGTGCTGACTTACTGCATGTTGCCCCCCACAGGACATGGGGTCCGAGTTGCAATTGAACTCGATAAAACCACCGAGGCACCAAGATACGCAAGCAACTGCATAGCTCCGAAAGGGATGCGCTACAACATGATACGATTTCATGATTTCATGTCCATGGCCCGTGGGATCGGCTCGGGAATCAAGAATCTCACGGCTCAGCCAAATCCGGAGCTGCAGCCGTTGAGGCCTGCCCGGGGATCTGAAAGTGGAACATGGGCATCAACGAGAATTCTGAAGAAATCGAAAAGGCACGGCGAGTGCTTCAAATCATGCAAGGACCTGCAGGTTTCATTTAGGCAGTGGCTAGCATAAGCCAAGGCAGTTCTGGGCTCTTGCACTAACCAAACCTCCGCCGCGAACCACAGGCCCTTTTTTTGTCCCCCTGGCAATATCAAACACTCGAGTTTGGGAGATGCAGCGTACTGGGGAAACCTTCTGGACAAGGACAAGAAAGCATGTCCTATGGGGAATAAAAGCAACAACCAATTCCTCTAGTCTCCGTTTGACAAGCTTCGTACTCTTCGCCGTGAAAAAAACATGCGAAAAGAGGAGCTTCGGTTACTACGCACACCCTTTGACAAGCAAGGGCTCTGGCCTCGCGTTGAGCTGGCGCTGTGCCAATCAGTGCCCAATCGTCACTTGAATCACTTGAATCAGCGAGGCCCGCAACCTGGCGAAGCCAAAAACTAGCAAGACACAAGCAGCATCGTTCAGCCAGCAGAAACTCTTGTAACACACAGTGTGCTCAACCCGTCTGCCCACCTCGCGCTTCTTCCTCGGCTGCCGGCGGACGCCACCCACCTGTGGCTTCTGCCAGCTCGATCGCGTGACCATACCACCCCCTACAGCTGGATCTGCGGCACCGAGCACAGGCTTGGGTGGCGCCAAGAAGGGCTCCCGGATCTCGCGCCAGCACTCGCGGTACATCTTCACGGCCTCCAGCACATGACCTTCCTGGCACTCGTTCCAGCACAGCAAGCTGGAAGGCACGAGCTCCTCCCAGCTTTCGCTTGGTTCCTCGCCAATGACCTCTTCGAGCTCATCGACCACGTCCATCTCCTGCGCCATCATGCACAGGCTCGGAGCTTCCATCTCCAGCGTAGGGTCACGGATTGCGGAGGGCAGTTCGCTTGCCAAGTACGCGCAGCGTGCAACCAGGCGGCACGCCACAGGAAGAGCTTGTGGGAATTCCTTCTTCAAGCCCTCCATGCGACTCTTCATATCTTCGGGCAACTCTTTTGAGTCTGCATACTCTGCATCGCTGTCCTTTGTCTTGATGCTGACCCCACGGGTCATTGCAAGAATATCTCTCGAGAGAAGGTGTAAGGCCACGAGAGCATTCAGAGGAATTGTGGCAATGTCCTGCATAGATTCCTGCAGCAATTTGCAGGCGTGACAAAGCACAGGCGGCAACTAACACCTTGCACCTGCCCTCAAAAGTTCCCTGTCGCGTGGAGGAAAGAGGGATTCTTGCGCATTGCTGGCTCCCGCATCAAACACTGAAACAGATGAGATCAGCAAGCCAAAATAAGCAAACTTGGCTTGAGCCGGGGCGCAATGCGCTTCAAGGCATCCGGGTGGCTCTCGCACTGACGGACCTGCTTGGGTGCCATCTGGTCCACAAGCAGGAGGAGGTTTATGAACTCCAGCAACGTCATGTCGCTTCGGAAAATGCTGGTGGTACGAACACCCAGTAGCAGAGTGATCAGGTCGCCAGTGATCTTGCTGACTTCCAGCGCATGGGCAGTGTCGCGATATAAGTCGGTTTCAAGCTGCTCCGCTCTCTGAACGCTTAGCGCCTTACGCAAAGACATCTGCGGCACCACTTGGCAAGATTTCACTCGGGTTAAAATGCGAACGTTCACATCTCCATGAAAAATATTGTAGGGAAAGGGGTCAATGTCGGACTGGAACTCCTTGTGGTCCTGCGCATGCTGACGCGCGAGTAGAAAACAATCTCAAAAAGGCAGCCTGAATTTCCGCAAAAGTAGCATGCGGGTAAAGCAATCTGTCCTCACTGCAGACTTGAAGCGGCGGGCGGCCTGCAACCAACCTCAACGCCAAGTCGTTTTCCATGGCAGGGAAGTCATGGTCACCGCGAGCGGGACAATCTGCACCCCAAGGGACATGGTAGAAGGTTTGAAGCAGGCTGTCAATGTTGTAGTCCAAGCGAAAGGTCCTTGGCCCAATCTCATCGCCTTCGAGCACATGTGGCGCCTCTGCGGGGCTGTCCTCCAGCGTTGAGACAACGGAATAAACGGGAACAAACTGAGGGCGACTGACTGGTACCAGTGCTTTGCCACTCTCAAAGATATCCCCAAGTGGTTGGACTCACCCATACCCCGACGGCTTACGTTGCTTTCAAGCAAACAGCCAAAGCATGTCACAAGTCCAAACGACCCCTCTTCGCTCTCCATTTCAATTACATTATTTTGGGCCGCCTTGCTGTCCTCCACACACGTGGTCTCCATCTGGCCCGGAAAAACAAACAAGTCCGACATCACCGTGTGCTGCACAAGTCGAACTTGCCTTAGCTTCCCTTTTCCGGCCCTGCAAACCAAAGGCTGGCCAATTGCAGTCAACATCCAACAAGAGAAAAATGAAACGTGCCATAATCTGGGACAATCAAGCGGCTCATTCTGCAAGTCGGCTGGCTGACACTGTCCGCTGGGTGTGCAACGTTTTGCTGCTGGGTGCACACGAGCCCTGATATGACAGGCGTCTCCCTCCTCTAGGTACTTGTGGATGTGGGCCAGGACCTACAGGGCTCGATGTTCTCCTCAAACACAACCCAGGTTCAGCATGTTTGAAAGGCCAGCCCGGGTCGCATTTTTGCCCTGCTCGCCAAGCCGACGGAAACCCAGCCTTGTTGTGGTTTAAGGCAAGTTCGTGCAGAGCAACTGCTGCGCAGTGCTCTGGCGGATGCGCATAGTTGCCGATGGCTAGGTCGCCGTGTCGCAACTTCTCGGGGTCCACCACAGGACAAGAAAGCGCCAGTGGGGAGTCTGCAGTCCACTCCGGGAGAGTCAGGTGACCGCAACCGACCTGCACGTTGCCCGCTGCCAAGGTGGCATTCCAAGCAGCCTCACAATTTCGAAACAGACTCCAGGCGTGCAACCGTTCATGGTCGTCCCTCATGTCCAGCCATTGTCGCATGGTGGTCCTGCGCGCGGCCCGGATGTCGATGCGGCCTCCCTCCTTCTCGCGCACATACCGCATGAAGGGCAAGACCCAGGCAAGGCTGGCGGCTCGCAGGAGCTCGGCTTGCACCTTCCAAGCCTTGGGCCAACATTTTGTCAATTCTAGAACTCAACCCGCGTGAGTCTACCTAGTTCTTTCGTGGGGACGCTCTAACCATGCCTTGGACTCATCAAAGCCCGCCATGGCCAGGCGAAGGATGGTCAAGCCACGGCCGCCATTGCTGGCCGCCACCAACTCCTCGTAGGTGCTCTCAGCGATCTCGGCGACAGGGAAGATCAGGGGCCGCATGAGGTGCAGAAGCATTGACCGGCGCACACGGTCCTCCATGCAACCCCATGCGTCAGCTGGAGGCGCACGACGCGCCAGCATATCAGTCGTGAGGACCACGTTGGGGTCTTTTGTTTGTCCTGCTCGCCTGCGCAGATCATGGACGCCGGGTAGCGTGTAGTCGCCGGCAGCAGTAATCTCCCCCAGCACAGGTAGAACCACAATCTCATGGAACCTGCGCGGTTCCTTTTCTTTTGGGGGGACCCGTCACGAAAAAATGACAAGGTGCCTGGAATCTCCTGTAACCCACAAGAGTGGGAAACGGCGCTGCCTCGGGCCCATGGGTCTTTGGGCACCTCTGGAGGCTATGGATTCCTGCAGACGAGCTGCCAGTTCTCGTAAGCCACACGCTCCTCGTGACTGCGCAGGGCGCTGGGCGCCGGCTGCTGGCCTGGCTCCAAGTCTCCAAGCCTGTGAAGCACTGCGTGGACGAAGAGGGTGGCCACCTCGATGCCGTCCTGACAATGCACTTGTGAAAGTTAAGGCCCGTGCAGCAAGAAGTAGCAATCGAGGAGTGAACTCTCGGACAAAGGCCATGGTGCTTTTAACAGAGAATTTGTCCGAGCAAAACACAACGAAACCGGAAGCCTGTTAGACAGTGTCCTTCTTCAGCAACTTTGAAAGAGCCTGCAAGTCAGCTTCCAAGTTGGCCATGAAGTACCACACTGTGTCGTTGGCATCTCTGACCGGGTTCATCCTGGCCTCCCTCCTCAGGTGCTCCTGCAGAAGATTGACAATGCTATCAGGCCCTTGTTGCACCCATTGCATGCCCACAGAGATCAGGGCGCTGGCATGAATCAGAAGGTGCAGTACTCGAAAGGTTACACGGTCAAGTCCTGTATTTGCAGGTGGTGGCTTGCCAAGCGGCTCATTCCAATCTTGCCTCACTGTCTCCGTCATCAAGCTATTGGACACGGCTGTACGGTTCTCTCGCTTGACCGAGGTTTCCAAATCTGCTTCAGTCAGCGCAAACAAACCTGGGCGGTTGCCTGGGGGACTAAATGCTTCGTTGTATTGGCGCACGGCGTGATAAATAGGAGGCCAGCCATCGCCATGGGGCGCTGCCGTCACGACAACTGCAATGAGCCGTTGGCCTGCTGCAAAATTATAGTTCTGACCGCCGTTCTGCCTAGTGCAACGGCCCTGGCCCTCTGGGCTTGCACATGGAGCCTGTGACACTGGCGCACCGCACTCTGCGTAACAGTAGCGGTACCCGCATTCACACTCAGCCCATACAATGTTGCCATTGGGCGGGAGGTTATGCTTGAACATGCCTGAGTATCGCAACCCGTGCCAGGAGTTGTCCGGCACACCCGGCCAGTATGTCGTGTTCAAGGCTTGTGCATCGAGGTCAACGAATGCCGCGAATGGCAACACAGCCGGTGGCAGGTCTTGCTTCCGAATGACCTCCTTTTGGGTGGCTCCCAGCAAACACACGACATGTGCTAGTATGGAACTGCGCCATGCATCATCGCCTGTCATATCAAGAAGGTCCCTGTTCCAATCAAACAGCGGCTCATCTCTTCCCTCTGCAGCATGTTCTGCCTCTCCCGCGTCATGTTCTGCCTCCCCCGTTTCCCCCACTTGGAAGAGCTGTAGCGCTGCTCCCAGCACATCAGGCAGCCTTGCAGAAATTCGCAGAGCCTTGTCTGCCGTCTCATCGTCCGCAGCAGAGCGCTGCATGCAAGCCATCTCTCCAACTGCTCGCATGCACCGCAGCAGATCTCGGAATTTGTTGCGGCTGTCAGCGCAAAGCTGGGTAAAATGCGCTACGCTCTGCTCGCTCGCCGCCGCTTCCTCTGAACCAATTTGGTCCACGCAATGCAGAAGGTCTTTCACTTCCGGGGCTTCCGGCAGCAGCATGGACAAGCCAAGGGAGTTGGATGCAGCAACAGCTTCAGCTTGACAATTGTGCAGCAGTTGATGCAGCTGGTGAACAGGGCCATCCCCCGCTTGCCCCGCTTTTTCAGCCACAACCTCAAACAGCTGTCTAAGCGCCACATCTGTAGGGACGGGCCTTTCCCGCCTGCGAGTTGCTGCAACCATGTACAAGGATGCAAAAGCAGTTGGAAGCTGATTCACGCGCAACTTTTGGCCCTTGTAGGTGCAAAGCTGTGTTTCTTGGAGTGCAAGGGCTGGCAAGCCCCGCACACATGCTACTTGTAGCATGCGCACAAAGCAATCCAGAAAAGCGCCGAATTTGTCGGGATTCTCCTCCTGAAGCGCTTTCTCGACGACACCGACGCTGTGGACCATGAGCTCTCTGGCAAGCACAAGTGCCACGAAAATTTGGGCACGCGACTGGGGAGCTGAAGCCTCCATGACTTTCAGCGCCTCGTTGAAGGCCTTCTGCAGAATCTCCAAGGCCTTCTTGGCAGACTTTCTCTTCGATATTGCTTGTTCAGCGACTTTGGACAGAATTTCGCCCAACTGAGCCGTCAACGAAAGCGCATCTGCCAAGCATGCGAGGAAAGGTGTATCCCACCCAATACTTGCATCAGGGGGTGGCAAATACTCGTTTAACAGGCCCATGACAGACATGCTAGATGGAGCTCCTGTCTCCTGGCCGCTCATCAGCAAACCGAATTCTTGCAGCACTGCTTGAGATACTTCCTCTGCTGCTTTCCAATCCCTGAAAACTGTCGACCACACCCGAGAGACCAAATGCTCCATCAAATACACCGAGATCTGCTGGAGGTATGTCTTGACTTGGCTGAGGTGTGAGAAGCTGTCGTCTGAGCGGGCGATGACCTTGCGCAAAAGGCTCTGAGACGCATCAAGTGAATCACGAGCATCTTTGGATTCCTCAGAAAGCAGCTTTAAAGAGTAGTACATGCCAACCAGTGGTGTGGAATACTTCACCTCGTCCAGCTGCATCAGGCCATACAAAGCTGGAATCAAGTTCTCATCCCTC